TTTTTTTTTTTTTGACTATCCCAACTGCTACCAAAGCATATGGGGCGCGTGTGGCGCTCTTTATTAATTTCAATATTATGTATTAGATAACGTTACAAAGATATTTAAATATTTTTCTATTTACAGATCCCAGATGGGAGTTTAGATTTAGTGCTCGTATTTCCTTACGGATTCGAGCACTTATGAATGAGGGGATCGAGGTTTCAGGGTTATCTGCATTGCCCCATTTCGTGTTTGTATACCAACACCAAATTTCATATATTGTAGTTATATGCATCCATAGTGCTGTGTTTAGATATTTGCGTTCTGTGAAGTTCCGAGCTGTAAAGACTTCTTGTAGAGAGGAAGGAATGTTGGGTTTTTGTCTTATGTTGATAAGTTTATAAGATTCAGACCAAATTTTCTTGCTGATTCTGCAGTCAAATGCAAAGTGTTCAATTGTTTGTCGGTCCTCCTCACACCAAGGGCAGGCGCCCGATTCTTGAGCAGAGATGTGCTGGAGCCTGAATCCTAGAGGTAGAGCCTTATGTGCAAGGCGCCAGAAAATGTCTCTTTTCTTGTTGTCCACTCCTTTAAGAAGCAACCAGTTCGGTGCTGAGTCTGAAAATAGCGTCTGGTTAAGCTCCCTAGATATCAAGTTGCCTCTGAGAAGTGTGGTTATTCTTTTAACTGTGACTTCATCTCCTTTGAAACCTCCTAACAAAAGATTTTCGAGACTCCAAGGCCACTCTGTATGAGAAAGAATTCTCCCTTCTACTTTTTTCCATGCAAGGAGGTAGGGCTTCCATTCTGAGGGCCAGGCTTTGCTGCGTATTGGGGAGCTAGTTAAGGCTTGTCTGATTGAAATATTTCTTTGTTTCTGTAACCTGTCTACGATTCTTGTTCTTTCTACCTTTGCCCAGAAGGTATCACCAGAGAGTAGCTTAAGCCAAACCATTAAGGCTCTTGCATCTAGCATATTACCTATGATGGGGGCTTGGAGCCCCCCTTGCTCGTACGTTTGTTGGAAAGTGGCATATTTGGGAAGCATTCTAGAGTTGCCTTTTATCCAAATTGTAATTAATCTGTTTATTTCAGCGATTTGTTTCTTGTTTGGAGGTAGGATGTAGGCCATATACCAGATTCGGGAGAGCACTAGAGAATTTGCAACCAAAATCTTCCCTTTAAAGGATAGATTTCTGAGAGCTAGTTTATCTAAAGTATCCTTGAGTTTATTAATAGTATCTGTCCATAGATTTTTCTTGTGTGAGCTATTTGTATGGACCTCATAACCTAAAAGAGTTATAGCGTCCTCTTCTTCTGTGACTTTATATTGATCTATGTTCGGTAAATTCGCCCCTCTGGCTATTGCTGATAGTGGAACCACTTTGGTTTTGTGTTTGTTAACCTTCGCATTTGAGGCTTTTTCATATATATTAAATAAGTTCTGAACTTCTATCCAGTCTGAAAGAGAGCCAATTCCTATAGTAAGATCATCAGCGTAAGCTACTGATTTAAAAGAGAGATTGTTTATTGGAATTCCTTGGATTCTGTTATTTATTGACTGGATTAGTGGCTCAAAAGAGAGAATGTATAGTAAGGGAGAGAGAGGGTCACCCTGTCGAACTCCTCTCTCGACTCTGAATGGCTCTGAAAGGGATCCTTTTTCAAATATATGTGCTATTTGATTTGCGAAGAGGTTTTCTACTAGATTTGTAAACTTTGTACAGAAGCCCATTTTTAAAAGAACCATTTGTAAGAATTTATGATTAACGCGATCGAAGGCTTTCTGTTGATCCACTAGGAGTAGCCAGTGTTGTTTTGAGATATCTGATTGATTTCTCATAACTGTGAGAATATCAAGTGCAGCATCTGTAATTGATCTCTTTGTAATAAATCCTTGTTGATGTGGTGGGATAAATACCTTACAGATACTATTCAGTCTTGAGGCAACAATCTTCATAAATATCTTAGCGTCACAGTTTACCAAAGAGATAGGTCGCCAGTTGTTTATATCACTTAGATCGGAAGACTTTTTTGGAATCAGAGTGATAAGGTTTTTGTGCCAGGAGTTTGGAAGAGTTCCAGAGTTTAAGACCTGGTTAAAGATATTTTCTAGCACCGGAGTTATGTGTTCCTCTGACAATTTATAAAATTCATATGTTAACCCATCAAGACCTGGTGATTTGTTGTTCGGAAGACTTCTAATTGTGGCTATTATTTCCTCTTTTGATATAGCCTGTGTGAGCTCAAAGTTTTCTTGCTGTGATATCGTAGGAAGTGTATCCATAATCAAGGCTGCTGCTTCTAAGTCTATATCTTCATCCTTGTAGATTTCAGTGTATTTTTCTTTTATATATTGTAGCGTTTGATCTTCTTTATTTTGTATGTTGGCTCCTGGGATCTTAATATCCTTTAGAGCTGAGGTGCTGCTCCGAGATTTGAAACGAGAAAAGAAATATCTAGTAGATTTTTCTCCTTGTTCGATCCAATTGGCTTTTGAACGAATTAGCCATCTATCTGCTAGATGGGAGAGTTCTTCTTGGATCTGTATATTGAGTTCATTTATTCTTATTGGAATAGTTGTTTGTTTAGGGTTGGCAGCCAGAGAGTTTTTAAGCTTGGTTATTTTTTTGTTTAGGAACATTATTTTGCTTTCCGGAGCTTTGGGTTTTCTGAAAGCTCTTATAATTGATTGAATGCACACTTTATGCCAGTCCCAGTTTGCTGCAGAAGTGACTGATTCAATTTCTTTTATGACTTCTTTTTTCAGTAATTCATTTCTGAACGAGTCTTTATCAAATCTCCAACTGGAAGCTTTTCTTGCTTCGTTATCTAGAGTTAGTGTACATTTAACTAGCAGGTGATCAGAATTCCCAAAGAGGGTTTCCGTTTTTTCGATTAAGAAATCATGATTCTCATCAATAAAGATATAGTCTAGGCGAGTAGCCATTGTCTGATTGTTTCTTGTGTTTTGATAGAATGTGAGAAAGGGTTTCTTCTCTAATAATGCCGCTGAGTCCAGGAAGTTGTTTAGTAGTTTTTTAAGTTGTATCCTTGAAGGGTCATTTTGTATATGAGCTTGACTTATTCTATTCAAGATAGGGTCTAGATTTGTATTGAAATCTCCTGCAATAATATTTATTTTGTTTTCCTCATACGAGGGAGCCCAGTTTTCAAAAAAGATCATCCTGTCTCTTATATTTGGAGGAGCGTAAACGTTCATAATTTTGAAATATTGTTTTTTGTATAAGATATCAGCTGTAACAACTCTGTCTTCATGTGAAGAGTGGGGGTTTTGAAGTTTTATATCCTTCTTGCCTGCTAGAATTGCTACTTTGTCAGTCCAGAAAGAGTCAAAAGGCCATTGTAGTTTTAAAAGATTGCAGGTGTTTAGGTTGTTAAGATTGGTTTCTTGTATCACAATTATATCTAGTTTATATGATTTAATTAACGTTAGGGTTCTTTGTTGCTTTTCACGGTCATTTAGCCCTTTTACATTTAAAGTTGCTATTGTAATTTTAGGGCCTTCTGTCATGTAAAAAGATAGAGTTGTTTAGTTGAGGGTAGTTTTGCGGCCCCCTCTACCTTTCCTGTATGGCGTAGACCCAATAATTTCCTGACTTGATCTACCTTTGGAAATTTTCCTGTTATTTTTCTTTTTTTTGTTAGATACTGTGATAAAACCTTCATCATCAACATCGGGTGAAGTATTTTCTTCCTCGTTTATATCTCTTTTCTGTAAGATAAAAATCTGGGCTGGGTGCTCCATTGATAACTCATCTCTTGGTGCTTGAATAGATAGAGGTTGGTTTCCTGATACCTCTTGTAAATCCCTGGTGCTCGAGTTGTCTGGTGAAACAGAGGGCAGATTGTTATTTGCAGTTGTTGTTTCTGTTTGCATTTCCATTAGAACAGGGGAGTCCTGGTCTTGAGTAATCTCTTCAAGATTTTCTTTGGTATTTGGGTTGTGATCAGAAACTTCTTTTGGGTGGCCCTCTTGTGGATTAGTTTCTGTTAGTTCTTTTTGTAGAGAGGGTGAAGCTAATTCCTGTGAAGGATTGTTTGTTGCTATCTCCTCTCTAGATTTCCTAGCTTCTTCTCTATATTTACGATAATGCTCTCGGAGTCTTAAAGATTCATGTAGTTGTTCACATTCTTTTTTAATATGGCCCTCTTGGTCGCAGAAGAAGCAAATTTTTGGAGCTGATTTCCATTCTGTGGTGACCTTGTTGTCTCCAACCTGAGTAAAGCGTGGAATTTTACTCTCTAAATCTGGGTCATCTGTGTTCTCAAAGATAATAATCCATTGGTCTGTTAGATATGGGGTGCCTTCGATTAAAAGAGGTTTAATCGAGGAGATTTCTCCTATATCTTCAAAAGCTTCTCGAATGAGCTCAGAAACTTGATTTTTGTCTCCTAATGGGACATTTCTGATTTTAATCGGCAGAAAGGATTTGCGAGCATCTGTCGGAATATACCCATAGTAGGTTTTACCCAAAATTACTACTCCTGTACTTGCATATTCTTTAAGTAGGCTATGGTTTGCAAAGATAATCTCAAGATGTGAGCGGGCACCTCTTTTAAGATGTTGTTTTGCAGCAATGACTTTGTCTCTCACGTTCTCGAAGAGTGAGGACATGATTTCGTTAAATGAGCAGTGGATCTTTGAGATATCGATGATTAGTGCATTGTCATTCTTGGACTTAATTTGTTCTCTTGGAGAGAATGTTGAGAAGGTAGACTGGCCTCTTCTTAGTTTCGGAAAGAGATTGGACCATTGTTTAAGTGGGGCCTTCTCCCTGGTTGCTTCCTGTCTTAGATTATTGACTAGAATATGCACGTATGGGTTCACAGGAGGTTCGGGGCTTTCGGCTGATGTTACCGCATGACTTGTTCGTCCAGAATTTTCTAGATCCTTTTCGGACACGTGAGTCGTTTTGTTGTTTTGTTTACTCAGTTCCGTATTTCGTGTTGACGTGTTTGAGTTTATCCAAGGGTTTTCTTGGGAAACTATGTCATCCCAGCTTTCTTTGTTAGTAGTTAGCTCTTGTTCTTTTGAGTCCTCAATATGTTCTGAGAGTGAGGCACTTGAGATTTGTTTGGGTTCCATATACTGAAGACCAGTAG